GCGGTGAGACGGGGCAGGGGGGTGATGACTGGCGAGCAAGGGGTGTGGGGGTACCCGAGGATGGGGGAGACCGGGAGGCTGCCGTGGGCGGGAGGATGGGGTGCTGAAGGGGCGCGTGGACCGCAGGAGAGCGGCGCGGGGTGCCACGGAGGAGCGTCTGGGACAGCGGGGAGCGGAGAGCCGCCCAGAGTTGTGGGGGTGACCGGAGTGACCCGGGTCCGAGGGTTTCGGTGCCTAGGAAGGGAGTTTGGGTAGGTAGGCTTTGTCTCTGTAAAGGGCGGTCTCTGTGTCTGGAGAGCACCGAGATGCCAGGCGGGATGGGCGCTCAGAGCTGTGAAGGGAGCCCCGAGTCCTGTCCTTGGCGAGGGACGGTGGCCCGAGCTGGTGTTGGTGGCGAGTGGGTTCCATTTCCTCCCGTTTCCAGCCTCCTCTGAAAGGAGGGTCAGCCTTAGGGCTCTTGGCTGCATGGGAGCCGGGACCCAACCGATAGGAGGAGCTGTTTTTCTCCATACAGCGGTCGCCTCCTTCCCGGGCTGGCTATTTTTATCCCAAATGTGGCTGCAGAGGGGGCTGGGGCCGGGTGACGGGGCAAGGCAACGTGGCTGATGGGCCTGACCGGTTCAGAAACCCAGGCTGTGTGAGACTGGGAAGAAGTGAGACGGGGTCCCTGTTCCCCGGTCTCTCCTTCCTGTCCCTTCCATCACGTCCCCCCAGAACCGGTGAAGTCTAGAGCCAAGCCGGCTGTAGTCTCCCCATGGTCTTAGAGGTGAAACAACTTTCCTGGTCGGAGTTCAGACTCCTGATAGCAGTCACAGCACCTTCCTTAACTCTTTCTTAGGCCGAAAACCCAGATCTTCAGACTGCTAATGTTTGTTGATTGCCCCTCGCCCCAGGGGCTGGATCTGGCTAGCTGCAGAACCCAAGACGCCCACCCTGGCATCCTTCCTGTAACCCCTCCCTCCATGCCCCACCCTCCCATGACTCACACTCTAGACAGGGTGGAGACCCGGGCTGGGGGCCCTGGAGGAGGGCTTGGCATCTCTGACATGTGGATGAGGTGGTTCTTCCTGAGCCAGGCACCCTTGCCTGCCATGGTTGGGGAGAGCCAGGGATAAAAAGGACTCCTGGCTTTCCGTGTTGCCTGATCTGGGGTCAGGGCGGGAGCCTGAGCTAGTGAGGGGAGAACTGGTGTGGGTGACTGGGCCCTGGCCAGAGTCTGTAATTATAGAGGTTGGGCAGACAGGCAATTAGTATCTCTTGGGCTGGCAGGCTGGGGGGGTGTGCTCAGTAGGTTGGAGGCAGGGGAACCAAGGAGGAGGAGGGGTGAAAGGCCTTCCACTCAGACAGAGAAAGGGGGCTGACTGGCTGGCAGTTTCCTTTGGGCCAGGCCAGAGAACAGGAATGGGGCTCTGGGTCCCTGCCTTGTAGGCCAGGCCTTATACGTTTTTAGGAGAAAGGACCTGGGAAGGAGGAAAGAAGCAGAGGCTTGTCTGACCGATGCTTCTGGAGCCTGCACCCAGTGCCATGCTGAATGAACTGGGCTTGGGGTGGGAGAGAGGGAGAGACAAACTCCCTGCTAGTGTGGAGAAGACCACTCTGCTGGCCTGAGAAGGGTGGCTGGCCCAAACAGAGAGGATGCGGTTTGGGGGCTGTCTGTGCAGGAAGTGAGGACCTCCCTTTAATGTGGACTCCCCTGGAGGAGGTGATAATGAAAGCCCCAGTAGTGGGTGGGGTGACGGTGGAATTATAAGCATTTTGAGAAGGGTGGAGCCTGCCCACCCTGTTTCCTGATGCCCTGCCAGGTGTTTCCTGGAGTATGTTCCCTCCACCCCACCCTCTGGGGGAAATAGCTCTGCTTTCTAGTAAGCACAGGCGCCACTCACTGCCACCAGTAGGGCAAAGGGGAGCATGCATTATCCCTGGGGTGGACACCTTGAGAGCTCTGTCCTATTTTCAACACGTGGTCCCTTCTCCTGCCTCCTTGCCCTGCAGGCCTTGGCTTCTGTAAACGTTCAGTTTCCCATGTTATCGAAGGCTCAGGCTTGATGGAAGGCAGTGGAGAAGTTCCATTTTCTCTCTCAGGGACCCATGGAGCAATTAAGGGGAGAGTTGGTGGCACTGGTGGCAGAAGCCTGGGGGAGGGGCAGGGTCAGAGCCAGAGAAGAAAGCCTTCAGAAAGGGTCTCAAGAGAGAAATGAAGGGTTACCCTCAGCTTCCTGACCTCACTTTGTCTGTCACCTTCCTGCAGGGTCTCCCATGGGATTGCTGGGACCTTGCTGGGTGAGATGGCACTGTGTGCAAAAAAGCGCCCCCCAGGTAAGACAGGCCAGGAAACCCCTGGAACCATTTGAGTGGGTGCAGTTTCGGCTCAGGGAACAGAGGGAAAAGGGTCCACTGGTGTGGGTTTCAGGAAGGGCAGGTTGAAACCCCTTCCCATTGCGGGGGGCGTCCAGGAAGCCGAGTTCTTCCGCAGAATCCTGGAGCTGGGTTCTCTGCGGGGTTGGTGCTGAGCACCAGCCCCCCCCCCGAAACGCCTGCACTCTCATC